TACAAATTGGTTCAAATTGGTAAATTTAAAAAAGATGAATTGAAAGAAAAAATAAAAGAGATTTGGTATAATATACCATTTAATTTGATCCAGAAATATGTTAATAGTTTCAGAAGAGGTGTCTAGATTGTTTAAAACAAAAGGCTATGACATTAAATATTAAATTTAATTCCGGTCACGTTTTTTTAGACAATTTTTTAAAAAGATTTTGTAAAGATTTTCTCCTTGCATAAAATTTATAATTATTTTTTGAAATTAGCTGTGTTTATTATTTAAATATATACTGTTATTAAAAAAATTTAATATAATATTGTATAACAATATATTTTTAAAAAATTTTAGTGGTCACGTTTTTTTGAGCAATACTGTATTTCAAGTGAAAGGCAAGCATTTTTTTACTTAAATTATAAACGAACGTCCTCTTTTTGCTCTTGTTGAAACTGCAAAACAAACTTTATCCAAGAACACAAGGTTTTTATGTTCATAAAGTTCTTCAAGTTCTCTGAACCTGCTAGCATATCCAAGCCTTTACTCAATTGTCCTTTCACAATTTTTTCGCTCAGGAACAATGGCAACTTGCTTAAGGGTATAATGAAATTGTCTAAGACAGCGATCAACTGTACCCATAGACATATTAATACCAAATGATTCATTAACTTTGTTAACTAAATCCTTAAATCTTAGCATAGCATCAAAGTCAAGCCAGGCAACAACTATTTGTTTTTGTTCTAATGTAAGTTTAGAACGCTTGTCTCCACAACATGGTCTTGAATAAACATCATCTGTAGACAAAAATTCCTAGAAATTTTATAAACAGTATTATAGTTTATGTCCAGTGCAGTTGAGATGTCTTTATAAGACAAGCCTTGAAGAACTTTTATTCTTATCCTCTCTATCTAAATGACTTACAGTTTTAGACCTGCCTCTAGATAGTGCCTGGTTATTTTTATGTCTTCTTGTTACCTCATGTTTGTCTGCTTCTTCATGCCTGTAAACTTCCTTATCTCCTCCTGCTTCCTCATACCTATCAGCTTCCTCATACTTTCTTAATTCCTCATGCCTGTCTGCTTCTTTATACTTTCTTACTTCCTCATTTCTATCTGTTTCCTCATATCTTTTTAACATTATAAGGAATAAAATAATTGTTCTTTAAAAAAATTTACATTTGATTGCAAATATTTTACACTTGATTGCAAAAGTTTTACAAATGGTTGTAAAATATTTTATTTTTAACTAGCTTATTTTTGAGTTTTACATTTAATTGCAAAATCTTTACACTTGATTACAAAGACTTACTTTTTGATCAAAAAACACTATAATAAGTTTGAAAAATAAGAAACAAATAAGAAGTTTAAATCTAAGTTTAAATTTTGTAAATATCACAAATGGTGTGGTTACTCTTCATTAGAATGTTCAAAACTTAAGAATCAAAATAAAGGTGCATCAGACAATACTTTTGTCATAAAAGAAGCTGATATAATTCCTAAAAATCGTCAATTTTGGGTGAAGTTTCTTGTCATACTTGCGAATTCATTTTAGACACTGGTTATTTTGATAATGTTATTTTACTTAAAAAAGCAAAAGAATTAAATCTTAATATTCACAAAACTGAAAAGAAGACATTTGTTCAGGTAGCAAGTGGTGAATTAATTTACAAAATAGGTATAGTTACTGCTAATTTATTTCTTGTTGAGATTCAAGAAAATATTTCAGTCGATTATAAAGTCTTAGATAGATTTGTTGATGATGTCATTTTAAGAATGAAATTTTTACATAAAAACAAAGCAGACCTGTTGTTAAGTAGGAATTCAATTAAAATCAATGATAAGTTTATTCGATTTAATCATACTGATACTAATTAATCCCTTCCCGAACAACATTTTTAGATAAGATAAATTGTTACTTAATGGATTCTATGATTCAGATTATAATTGAAAAATTTTTAGTTTCTT